CGTTGAATACTTCCCACTGGACTGTGTCGCACGACTGCACCAGCCCTCCTTCACCCCGCCCGCCCCCCCCCCACCCGACCCCCCACGTTCCCTATGTGGTACAGGCAGGAGGAACACAATGGTTTACCGTCTGCTGAACTTCCCAGCAGGATCACACAGCGTCGGTCGGTCGCTCTCTGGCTTCTGCGTCTCAGTTTTCCACAGGAGTTGATTGTTTTTCGTTTTTGTCCGACTTGGACTTAACGTATCTGATGAAATCTTTTTAAACTCGATATTACATTCGTTTTCAAGGGAAAAAAACTGAGAAAACAACCTTTTTTTTCTCCGAGGAGACTTAGTGCCACATTCAAGTGAGTACTATTTATTCAGCGTCAAGGACGTTAAGAAGTGCAATTCACGGAATATCAAATCGTCTGGCCTCCTACGATTCTCACAGACCACTGGGCTTCAGGATCTCCAGACTTAACCAGGGTGATGGGTCTTTGTACAAGTAGGTCCACTGTGACCCTGGACCCCAGCGCTCACACCCTCACTCTGGAGCGGGCCGGCCAAGCCACGGGCGACAGAGTCAGCCCCAAAGGAACACCTATTTTAGATGAAGGCATCCTCATGGTCCAGCCGGTCAAATGCAAAGCTGATGTTGGAGGAGGAGGAGGATCAAAGAGTGGTGGGGGGGTCAACCAGACAGCCAAAGGCTACCTGGAGCTGGGGGGAAAGGGAGGAGGAGAGGGTGAGGCACAGACTTCCCGGGAGGCCGAAGATGAAGAAGAGAACGAGGATGGAGATCAAGTTGAAGAGATGATCAATCTGTCAGACAGTGAAGGCAGTCTGAGGAGCGAGTACTTGGAGTGAAGAAGAAGAAGAAGAAGAAGAAGAAGAAGAAGGTTGGAGAAGGTTGATGACTACCAAGAAGTGACACTAGTGTTGGTTTTGTAATAAATTAAGTATGAAATGAAATAGATGTGATGACGTATGGAACTCTGTTTGACTCTTTTCACCGTGTCTAGAACCTTCTCTGTGTTAGAAATAGAATAGAGATGACATGGCTTTGACTGTTTAAAATAAAGCAGCTCAACTCCCTGCACGTCTGTGGTGGTCTCAACCTCTGGTCACACTCAGCACAGGGCAAGTGTGAGAATTTGACAGTTTGTTTGTGCGTACTCATCAGGGAAAGTCAGAAAGTGTCGGAACATTCCGTCTGGACTTGTCGTCATTTTGCTAACTTTCCCATGTGACCTATTCTGATCATTAGACAATAGTAATTTCTGTCTGTTGCCGATTGGTTCTGACCGTATTCTGTGTAAGAACTGCACAGATCCTATCAGGCAGACCAAAAACTCAAACTGACTCACTGATTTACTGGCACATTTTACGGAATAACCTCCAGTGACGCTGTGACAACTGATCACTGAAGGTTCCAGCGTTGGCAGCGTTCGTGGGAAACCACTGCATTATCTGTCGACTGATCTTCTGAACCTCCCACTGACTGTTGTAGGGGAAAGACGTCTTCACGCTGTTTCATGTGGAGAGCTGAGCACCATGACTGGGTGGATGGATAAAGCCTGGCACATTAAAAGGCGTCGACCGGTGACAGTCGTCAGGTCGTAGGGTTAAAGCCTTGACAACCGGCAGCATCAGCAGCATCAGACCGGGCTCTGTTTAGCTCAGGTGTAAATCAGGATTTCAGTGCTGAGACCAGTCTGTCTGTCAGTGATGGGGGGGTCCGTGAGCTCTCTGTGGACACTGTCTGTCCTGCTGCTGTACTTCTTTCAAATCACCGTCCAAAATCCAGTCCCCAACGTCCAACGTCGAGCCTCAGTCAGTCTTCACGAGTTTAACATCAACGTGAACGAGTTCGGGAACTTCCTGACGGTAAGTTTCCCTTATGCTAATCACGGATGAGGAATTCTTTCTATTTTGTCCGGACAAACTCCCCACGTGTGTACTGTAAATGAGCGGTGCTAATGAGCGGTGCTAATGAGCGGTGCTAAAGCCCACTTCTGAGGAAGAACGTGTGTTCTGGACAGATATGGTTCTACCTTACTGGGAGACCACTGCTTATCTCCAGAGCCGGCAGGCAGAGGACGCCACCACCACTGACCACTCGCTGCTCCGCCCTGCTGGTCACGGCTGCCTGCTGCGGCGTCAGCCACTTATTTAAATCTAAACTCAGCTGTCCAGGATGTCAGGTGATGAAAATGGTGGATATTTACTGAGCTCTGTTTTCAGACCTCCACACAGTACGGACCAGGGACGCACCGGAATTAGAATTCTGGGCCAAAACCAAAAATGAGAAAAAAAGTGATTCTGTCAGTTATTATTATTATTACCACAGCATTGATGGCTCTGACTGTGAACTGAACCTGAAGTAAAAATCAAGGCACTGTGATTGGAGCAATTAATAATGAATTCATAATTGTCAAGTAATGGTCAGATGTCGAGCAGAGAAGTCAAACCAAGTGATAGTCAGAACAGAACAGACAACCAGGGTCCCCGCCCCTCATCTGGAACACTGCTCTCCTCCGTCTCCAAGTGGATTCTCAGCGTCCATCACGGCTTTATTCCTTTTTGTATTAGTTGTTTCGGTGATACAAGTCTTTCAGCCAAAAAATGAAAATGCACTTTTGGGTCAGTTTTGGCAGAAATGACAGAAATGAAACTTTGGTGCATATGGATGGTCCACCCTGAGGCCAGGCTACCAGCTAAACTTCTCTGTATCCAATCAGCATCAGCTACCTGTTGAAGCCACCGTCTATCAGCTGTGTGTGTGTGTGTGTGTGATGCTGATGATGTTTATCTTTTCACTGCAGGACTGTCCAGAGGAGTGCAGTTCAAACACCACTGTGTGTGCAGCCTGATGCTCCTCCTCCTCCTCCTCTTTCTCCTGGTTTTGTTAGAATCACTTTGCACACACACACACACACAGTTTCTACCAAACACTTTTTCCACTTTCACAGCATCATCTCCCCCACTCAGTTTCTGATCTACATATTTTACTTTTAGTTTCAGTTGAAATGATTTCCTGTCAAATCAGGTTTAACTCTTTATGTCGTTCAATATTTCAGGAGGGGAAATGCAGGTGTCTTCACATCGATGTCCCAGAATTGGTGAGCTGTGTGTGTGTGTGTGTGTGTTATTACTGTTTATTCATAAACATAAAGAATCACATTTTCTCCAAAGCTAATCTTAAAAAAGACAAGATTAAATCCTCGACGTCGTCGTCAGACCGAGGCAGACGTTTTCCTGTGGTTTGACTCTGTCGTCTGTCAGCGCAGCGTCTGTAGCTGAGGTTAAACCTGAGGTTGACCTTCAAAGACAGACGTCTGCAGCTTCACCCTGAGCTAATGCTGTTGTTGTGGTTGTTGTTGTTCTTTTCATTTATTAGCAATGCCGCTCTTCTCATTACTACACTGTCGGCCTGGAGAACCTGCTCAAAGCTAACCAGGAACCTCACGCTTCAGTGGTCGAAGACTTGATCAAACCCTTGATCCAAGACCTGGGGGCCGTGAGAACTTCAGAGCAGGTGCAGTAAAGTGTCAGGTTGTCCTGAACGGCAGCCCTAAGGCCTCGGCACGTTCTCAGTTCTAGTTTGTCTGTGCTGCAGTGTCAGGCAGCACATGTAAATACTCCTCCACTAGGTGGCAGCAGATGGTGACTTGTTATCAGGTGTGATAGAGATGAATACATATCTGACCAGTCAAAAAGTATAAAAATCCAAACCAGGTCCTGGGAACATTGTGGCCCAGATGAAGGGTCTAATGTGAGTAGTGGTCCAACACCCCCCCCCCCCCCCCATCTCTCCACCCCACTTCAACACAGGAACACAGAGTAATTAAATTGAACTCTGTCATGTGAGTACGGCCCATACTGCCCACGGGTCTGGGTCCTTAGATACTGAGGGACCGTCACCGTCTGAGGTTGATGGTGATGGATGTAAAGTCAACAGACAAGCTGTTTAAATGTCTCATGTCAAACAAAGATGGCCGCTCTGTCAGCTGACCCACTCCTCTGGATCTTCACAGGAATTTCTGCAGTGTTTCCCGAGCGGCGGGTGTGCCCCCCACATTTCCCCAAAGACCTTCCATGGCAAACTCAGAGATCTGAAGGAGTGTATCGCCAGCATGATGAGCGCTCAATGAGTGGAGCAGTACAGCAGGTGGCGCTCATACCCACAGTTGTGACAACTTTAATCCTTGTGTTGATGGTGAGCTGGTAGTGCTGATCGGACCTATTTATTTTATTTATTGACTAAAGTGGGATCCATCCCACGTCAACTCTGTTTCTGGATCAATATTTTTACTGTCATTAAAGCTGCACTGTTGTTCTGATGTTCTTGTACTTGTGTGTGTTGCTACTGGACTCTCCACTGGTCACTGGACATCCACCCACAAAACATCATGCGGTGTTGACCGGGGGAACCTCAAGGTTCTTCTTTTGGTCCACTTTTATTTCCATCTTCATACAAACCTTCTGAACCCCATGTTTTTGGAGGAAGTCCTAACTTCAAACATTTCTGCCCCCCTGTGGACACTGAAGGACTGTTTCTGTCCATGTTTGTGTCCATCAATCACACTCAGTCCAAACAGTTACTGCTGCCAAGACCTGACCATGAAGACAAGTACACATTAGGGAGGGGGGGGGGGGGGGGGGGGGAGAGAGAGAGGGAGGGAGGGAGGAGAAAGGGGCGGGGGAGAGAGAGAGATGGAGAACAGACTGCAGAGCAGATGTGGTGGAGGTGAAACCACTGAAGAAGCAACGGAGGTGAGAACATGCAGCCTCCACCCAGGAAGGTAGGAGAGATCTTCTCACTTCCTCTTCCTGTCACCTGTGTCTGTGCTGCGTCGTCACCTTCTCCTTCTTTGTGTCTTCTTCAAAGTCATCTGTCAGATGTTCCTCATCTGTTGGACCTTTAGCAGTGACTTTGACCAAGGTACCAAGAAGGTTCTAGTCCGGGACCGCAGAGATGTTTCAGAACTGTTAGTGATGGGAGTGTCAGTGTCCAGCTTTCATTGGTTACAGCAGCTGCACCACAGTGATGTGTATTTAAACCACTCCCTGTTTCAGTAGTAGTAGCTCCTGGGATTAGCAGGGCTAATTATTTGACTTATTTTTTTATAAACAACTAATTATAACAAGGTTTAAAATGACACTTGTAACGTCAGAACAGATGGGATTATAAAACGGTCGGAAGAGTTAGCACTCCTATATGTATTTATATGTGTGTGTGTGTGTGTGTGTGTGTGTGTGTGATGCCCAGGTAAAGGAGAGTCAGCAGGTGAAGCTGGTCTTCTCAGAGCAGCTCAGTAAACTACAGAACAAACAGCATCAGGACACTGAGCTGCTGGAGGAGATCAGGTAAAACACTGACAGACACTGACAGACACTGACAGACACTGACAGACACTGACACGCCCAGTGGAACATTGCCATGTGCTGCTGTGACCTCTGCTCTGTCCTTGTCCTCCCCCAGGAGCTTCAGTAAACATCGATCAGTCGTAGAGAAGGAGTACGCTCAGGCAAGTCAACGTCCAGTTTGGTTTTTGTTTCAGGCTCCGTTCGATCTTGGCAGGAAGTGCTCATTATGTATTGATTTCAGCTCCTGTGTCAGTGACACTGGGCTGTTTTCTAAAAGTGTGTCAACACCAACACCAGCACTGATCTGTTCTGTTCTCAGGCCAGGAACGGAGCCAAAAACCACATTTAAAAATGGATGAAGAGACAATGACGTGGAGGTGTCAAAGTCACATGACTGCGTCACATGACTTCTCTATTGTACTGGACCTCTACCTCTATATATTGATGCCTCAGTTTATGACCCTGTCATTAGTTCAGACATGGGGGGCCACAGTGGAGGGGCCAGGTCAGGAGCAGAGATAATAGTCATAAAGGCTAAAACACTCAAAATGCTAGATGTGTCTATGCCATCTATTGGGGAAACGCAGGCGTTGCAGGGAAAAGGTAGAAGTATAATGATAATAAAATTAATAATATATTTTGGAGAGGTTTGGCCGGCCGGATTAAAAGGCCAAACGGGCCGCATCTGGGCCTCGGCCTGTAGTTTGCCCATGGCTGCATTAGTGTATGACCTAAAAGAGAACAAAGTGGAAATATGTCGAGGAATGTTGTTTTAACGTCCACTGCATTTCAGGCTCTTCAGAGGTTGGCGGTTCAATACCAGAAGAGAGACTGGCAGCGAGCGAACACAGACCTGAGTTCTTCTGGGTAACGTCACACTCACGACCCCTCACGACCCCTCATGACCCCTCCTCACCATGAAGACGGGGGGGGGCACAGCAGGAGCGTGACGCTGATGTGTGTTTTCAGCAGTGTGTTCGCTGTGTGGCGCTCGGTGGTGGATGCTACGGCGCAGACGGCTGCGTCACGACTGGATGCTGCAGAAAAATATCGCAGTTTGAGCGGACGGGCTTCACGCAGTGTTCGAAATGAAAAGGACGTCCGAGTGAAGAGAGTAAGACTGGGATTAACGTCCTAATCTGGTTGAGAGTGTCAAACCCCTGGAGCATGGGCCGCTTCTGGCTCGTGACCTAATGACTCAATGATTCAAATCTTTCACTTGTGTCAGGGTTAGTACTAGCATTACAGTAAGTAGTATTACTGTAAGTACTGTTTACTTCAGTAGTACTACACCTGGACTTCTGGTGTGGCCTCACACTCACAGGTAGGTGGCAGCACTGGACTTTACTCGTTGAGTCTGAGTTAGGAAGGTCACTGACCTTTACCTGTCAGTAGTTTAGCCTGCAAATACACAGTCCTGAAAATCAGCCAATCAGCACAAGGCAGAGGAGACCACGGGGTGAGACACGTCCTGTGTGTGTGTGTGTGTGTGTGTGTGTGTGTTTTAGGGCTTGGAGCAGCTGCAGGCCGTTCAGGCTGAAGTACTGGACGCCCTGCGTGAGCTGCAGCAGCTGAAGAAGAACTACCACCAGTTGAGCCACATCGCCAGTGTTGCCAGGTCGAAGGCGGCTGACGTCCAGAGCAGGTCGGTGTGAGTCATGAGTGACGTTAATATATATAACCCCACCACCAGGAGGCAGTGCATCACACATGAGTCCCTGAGCCAATCAGGAGACAGGAGTCAGCTGGTGCTGCTGGTTCAGACTCTCCATGGTCAAGACGGACCTGATGAGTCATTACATCCAATCAGTGACGTGGACACTGAGACAGGTGGACAGACAGCTGGACAGACTGAGGGACACTGTCCTGTGGCTGAGGTACTGATCCAATCATCGCTGGACTTTTGTCTTTCAGAGCCAAAAAGAATGAACATGGGATTTTCCACTTCAAGACTGGACTTCACAGAACGACTGCCAAGGTGTGGAGATAAACAACAACAACAACAACAACAACAACAACAACAACTCAGAGTGTTGTTTCCAATAAACTCTTACACCCCCTCCCCCCCCTCCCACCCCCCCAGCTGGCTGCCAGGCTAAAGGAGTGTGAGGATGGTTTGACTGAAGCTCGTAACCACTTCCTGTTGACTCTGGCTGCAGTGAATGCTCATCATCAGTTCTACTACACAGAGGACCTGCCTCACGTCCTGGAGGTACGAACACACACACACACACACACACACACACACTGATGACACCCAACTACACTTCAGCTTCAGGTTGTTGTCAAACATGGCTCCCAAACCACCGGGGCGGGGACCAATTCCGGACCATTGATCACTTGGAGGCCTTGAAGGCCTTGAGGACCTTGAAGACCCGGTGTTGTCCTCCCCTCAGATGTTCTCTCTGTGTTTCTGACCGTCAGCAGATGGATGGGAGTTTTTATGAGGATTTGAAAAACGACTTCTGTCTGCTGTGTGAAACAGAGTTGGACTCCTGTCTGAACACACACAAGTACTACAGTAATATCTGGGACAACGTGGACAAGGTATTTGTACTTCACTCCTTTGTCTCAACATCAAACCCTGGGGGGAGGAGGGGGGGGGGGCAACAGCCTTTAACCTCTAACCGTTGTTGTTGTTGTTGTTGTGTGGTTGTCGTTGTTGTTGTTGTTGTGTCGTTGTTGCTGTTGTTGTTGTTGTCGTTGTTGTTGTGTCGTTGTTGTTGCTGTTGTTGTGTCGTTGTTGTTGTTGTGTCGTTGTTGTTGTTGTGTCGTTGTTGTTGTGTCGTTGTTGTTGCTGTTGTTGTGTCGTTGTTGTTGTGTCGTTGTTGTTGCTGTTGTTGTGTCGTTGTTGTTGTGTCGTTGTTGCTGTTGTTGTTGTTGTCGTTGTTGTTGTGTCGTTGTTTTTGTTGTGTCGTTGTTGTTGTTGCTGTTGTTGTGTCGTTGTTGTTGCTGTTGTTGTGTCGTTGTTGTTGTGTTGTTGTTGCTGTTGTTGTGTCGTTGTTGTTGCTGTTGTTGTGTCGTTGTTGTTGTTGTGTCGTTGTTGCTGTTGTTGCTGTTGTTGTTGTTGTCGTTGTTGTTGTGTCGTTGTTGTTGCTGTTGTTGTGTCGTTGTTGTTGTTGTTGTTGTTGCTGCTGCTGTTGCTGTGTTGCCAGGTGACCAGGGAGAAAAACATCCAACAGTTCCTGCAGGAATCTCCTGTCTTCAACCAACCAACTGAGTTTGAGTTCCAGGCTGCTCCACGGGACCAGCTGTGTTCACTGCAGGACGTCTGTGACTCTGAGGTCGAAGGTCATCTGATGAAGGAGGCAAAGAAGTGGGCTGCAAGAGCTGCCAAGGACCACAAGATGGCGACCCACGGAGAGAGGGTGAGACTCCGGCTGGGTGTAGGCCTCATCTGAACTGCTACATTATTATAGATGTGGAAGGTTTGTGGGCCGACGTGGGCCGCGGGCTGTGGGCCGCGGGCTGTGGGCCGTGGGCCAGGAGTTTGAGACCCCATGTTTCTCTACTTATGTGACAAATGACAAATGTTTTGTTCTTTTCTCACAGTAGTTGAAGGGAGAAGTTCATTTGAAGTCTTTGTGTGTGAACTGTGGTCGACTCTCCTTCATCAGGTCTAAAATGACGGGCTCTCCTTCAGGCTCTGCAGGTGTTGGCGGGTCGTCTGAAGCTCCTGTCAGGTCAGACCGGACTCAGCGTGGAGCGGAAGATCTCAGAGGTCCAGCACAGCGTCAGGAAGGCCGAAGTAAGAAGGCGTTCTGTTCTGACCGGGGCCAGTGCTGCTGGGGATTACCAACAACTAACTATCACCTGGTGGACAGCTCCTGGTGCTGAAATAAACACGCAGCGTGTTTCCTTCCCACCGCAGGTGAGCAGGATCAAAGCAGAGGCTCGACTGGCTCTGTTGGCAAACAGTGTGCCGGGAATCGAACAGTGGAGGAGTAAGGCCATGAACCAGGCCGCAGAAGAGCTGGAGAGACAGAGACGGCTGAGTGAGCGGAGAAGATCTACTGAGGACTTTTCAGTATGTACACACACACACACACACACACACACACACACACAGCGTGTCTGGTTCTAACCTGAAACTCAGAGGAAACAGGAAGTTGATCTGTTGGTTCGTGTGATTTCTAGGAGGAGGAGTTTGAGCTGACGGACTTTGAGGAGTACGATGATGACGACAGGGACATCTTCACAGATCCAGGATCAGCATCTGGAGTGTGTGTTTATCCTGCAGACTGTAAAGTTATCTACAGCTACCAGGTACTGGTACTGCAGGTCACAAATACTCCTCATCTGCTCCGAGCGGTTTTCAAAATGACACCATCTGGTGGTTGTTCTTATTCCCAGAGGAACGTCATCAGGGCGACCCTCCTCTGTGGATAAATGCATGAACTGACATACTCTCACACACACACACACACACACACACTCAGCAGTTGGCGTGGCGGGAAACTTCACACATGAACGACAGTTCTGTCCAAACTCTGACTTTTCTTTAATCCAGGCCTGTCAGTTGGACGAGCTGTCAATCATCGAGGGGGAGGAGCTTCAGGTGGTAGAAGATGGCGACGTGGAGGACTGGCTGAAGGTACGCTCGGGTGTTTCATACTATCGGTCGTACCATGGACCAGAACCATGTTGAGGTCGCGGTGGTCTGTTCTTGACAGGTGTGTAATTCATGTGGTCAAGTGGGCTACGTTCCTGAGCGTTATGTGCAGATCCTGTGTCTACCAGCAGAGGACGTTGTTCGGCTGGACACTTCCTTCAGTTCAGTCTCTTCACTGGGAAAACAGGAGGGGACGGGAACCACAGGTTCAGCACCGTCTGTGATTATGACGATGGGTGAATTTTCCAGTAAAGAAGCAGAACCATATTTGTCCTCAGGTGTAGCCAGAGCTCTGTACTCCTACCAGGCCCAGAGTGCAGAGGAGCTCTCTTTCCAGGAGGGGGCGATGATCAACCTGATACGCCGTCAGCATGGAGCGGTAAAGACAACAACGTGGAACGGAGAAACGAAGGCTGATGTTGAGGATGACTGTCTCTGTATGTCTGTCACCTGGTCCAGGTGGACGATGGTTTTTGGGAGGGAGAGCTGAATGGACGTCGTGGTTTCTTCCCTTCACTGGTGGTGGAGCTCATACAAGATGACAGAGAGGAGGAGGAGGAGAAAGAGAAACAGGACAAGGAGGTGCAAACGTCACATGTGCTGCCTCTGGAGGCCATCCAGGTCATTACAGGATGTTGAGTTGTTTAGACTTTCAGTGTTTGGACCAGTGCAGGTCCCTGTGTCCCAGTGGTTCACCCTCCGTCTCTCTTTCTCTCCTCAGACCCCCCCCACACCCACTCTGCCTCCCCTCTCCATTTCCCCAACTCCTGGTTGTAGTTCAGTGACTCGGCCACCAGGCTTCCTGGAGGAACGCCGGCCGACCTGTGCAGATGGCGTGGTCTCCGACAGTCGACTGAAACCGGTGAGTGCTGCTCCAGTGGAGGAAAACTGAGCAGAAAAAAGAGCAAAGGAGCAGCTGCTGTTCCACATGTGGCCGTCTTCACTCACACCGATCTGTCTGTGTCTGTGTCTGTGTCTGTGTCTGTGTGTGTGTGTGTGTGTGTTCTGCTACAGTGTCGACCTCCTCCCCCTCCTCCCACACTGAAGCCCCCACCTCAGCTGTGAGACTCGGTGCTGAGAACTGAATGAACGAAGGCAGACGTCAAAACACACTTTATCTCAACTGTTCTAGAAAACTGGAACAACAGGAAGACGTTATAGATCAGTGGTCCGCAACCCCTGGGCTGCGGACCGGCCTATGGGTCAACTGGTTCCGGCCGCACAGAAAGAATCTTTTATTCATTATCTGATTCAGAACTGCTCCACCCCGTGGAGACCGAGCGTTAACAGACAAGCGCGATGTTGAAAAATAGCTGTAGGTTTTGTGTCGGTCGTATCACTTTATTAAAGGCCGGTCCGTGAAAAACATGTCAGACATGGAACCGGTCGGTGGTTGGTGATGGTCGATGGTAATCATCTCCATAAATACTGTCCAAACACTGTGGAACTGTGAGTCCACCACAGTAGAAACTCCTTATCATCTCAACAGACTTTTACCATCAACACAGACACCAGGTCCGTCCACACGTCCAGCAATGAGCGTCCAGCTGCGTCCAGCTGCGTCCAGCTGCGTCCTGAAGCTTTTCTCTTCATTTGTTGTGAAAATAAACGACAATCTCTTTTTTTACATCACACTTCATCCTTTTAGACGTCAATAAAGAAGTGAATACATCTATGAGTATTTTAAAATACTGTACATGTAACTGATTTAACAACTGTCCTATGTCTACACCACACACACACACACACACACACACACACGTTCACAGATGAAGTTTTTCATCTGTGTTTTTTTACCCTCAGATTCACAGTACAGACAGACAATGTAGTATTTTCACAATCTACTATTTATTGAATGGTAAATATATATATATATACAGCTTTGTATTGTGTAGTACTCGGGCCTATAAATGAAGAACAATGCAGTACTGTACACTTGTTTACTTCATGTACTCGTACTGAGTTCATTTCATGTCTTTGAAGAACTGTTGACTAACTGTTTGTTCAGTTGTAGGAATCGTGTCTTGGTTTAAAACACAACAGAGGCCGTTGTGACGTGATTTCTCTGGTGACCAGCAGAGGGCAACCTACAGTCCCCCACACTGAGAACATTGTACTGGGGATCATCACGTGATCACTGAGGAAGAGCAGGCATGTGACGAGAAACTAGACCGGACCCTGGTCAGTTTCCCATGAAGACCAGGAAAATACTTTGACCTTTGACCCCTGCTCTCTGGCTGCTGAGTTCCAGCTGCAGTGTTTTTGCTCCAGTTGAAGAGTCTCCAGAGTCACAGGCTGGAATGTGGACTGATGGCCACTAACTTGGTCACTAAACAATGAGTTAACTAGTTAGCTTAAAGTCTGGGGAACACAACAATAGGTCAGAGGTCAGAGGTCAGAGTGACGATGGTCCTGACGATAGTAATCCTTTAAATCTACTACTGTATGTATACATTCATTATGTTATGCTGTACTGTAGTACTGTAGTAGTACTGTGTGATATTTGATATAGTGACCTGTATATAGTCTGTAGTTAACAAAATAAAGGTCAGTCATAATACTCAGGGTCGCCCCCTGCAGGGCTCCACATATAAACAGAAAGACCAATAACCATTCACATCTGTGGTCAGTTTAGAGTCAACATTAACCTGAGCCGGAGTAGACACACACACACACACACACACACACACACCGGTCATCTCCAGCTCTGGGGGCGGAGTCACAGAGTGAATCATGGAGCCGAGGTCAAGTACTTCAGTAAAGTACTTCATTAGTACACACAGGCGTGTACTGACGTCTGATCGTCTCCATCAACAGGATTGACAGGTGGACTCGCCATCTCCCATCATGCCTCATCATTCCTGTTCCTCTGACATCACAGCCCTCAGGCCCCTCCTTCATCTGTGCAGCACCTCCTGGACCCCCCCGTCCTCCCCCCCGTCCTCCCCCCTGCCCTGCGTCACCCTGCAGTCCCTGATGTCTTCCATCTCCACCATGTCGTCCTTGTCTTGTCTCAGTCCGACCGCGGCCTCTGTCCGACTCCCGTCTTGGTCTTCGACCATAGTGACCACTGAAAACTCTCTCTGACCGTCCGCCCCCCCCCTGACAACCACCGTGCTGCTGATCCGTCCGCCTGGAGACGGAGGTGGTCTGTCTTCACTGAAGTGCTTCTTTGGCCCCCCCTCACAGGGTCCCAGGGTCTCTTCTGATCCTGGCCCCGACCTCAGATGTGGTGGGGGGGCCCGGGCCCTGGACCTCGACAGCGTAGGTGATTGGCTGATCACGGCGGCCCCTGGTGGAGGGAGGGAAGAGCTACGACCTGAGGTGACGACCTGACGGCGTGGAACCTCCCTGGGGGAGCTGGGGGCTTCAGACACAGAGGACGAGGACGGGGTTCTGTTCTGAAGAGAAGACTGAGGAGAAGAACCCAGACTAATGAAGGCCAGGCTAGAACCACGGCCCGCTTCCACCTCTGGACTGGAGCAGGGGTCAGGGGGAGACTGGGTCACTGGAAAACCTTTGGGGGGGGCAGAAGTGAACCCTGCAGTGGTGGGTGTGGACGTCTGCACCGGTCCGGGATCAGCAGAACCTTGGGTGAGTGAGTGGGGGACAGCCACAGCTGGAGGTCCGACCAGTCGGTCCAGCTGAGGTTCGGAGACGGACACCGACCGCTGAGACTCTCGTTTCCTTCTAGAAGGAAGAGAACTGACCCGACCCGTCTCTCTGTGTGGAACCTTCTCGTCCTCGGTCTCCTCTGGGTCCTCACCTTGGACCAGCTCCTCCGGAACCACCGGCTGCTTCTGGAAAGCAAATTTCAGACCCCCCCCCTGCCTGCTCGTGGACTGCTCCGTCGCTCTGAGGCCGACAGGGTCGCTGACTCGCCGCAGACCAAAAATGGTTCCGCTCCTCCTTCGTTTTCCCATATTTGGGACGAATCCGTTGGTTGTGTCGGAGGTGGGTCGGACGTCCTTGAACATGTTCCTCAGGTTGTATCCGGCCTCGGCGTCCTGGGACTGGTCCAGTGGGTCCCCTGAACCCACCACTGCAGTTGAACTTCCATGAAGCTTCTTATCTGTGTGTATCACCCTGAATCTGAGGACACACACACACACACAGAGAGAGAGAGAGCAGAGCAGAGCAGAGCAGCAGGTTACTCTGACGGACACTTCTACCTCATGTACTTCTACAGTTCCACCTGTACCTTCCCACAGAGAACACCGTCTGTTCTCCAGGTCGCTGTTTGAATCGCTGCGTTCTGCTGTGACGCCGTCCCTTCTTGGAGCGACCCTGAGCGCAGAGGTGGCAGGAGTCGTGCTCTGTGCCTGAGTGCACCGTGTGGTGGTGGGGGGGGACGCTCCCGATGGACTCCTTACGAAACCTGCAACAGTCCACCCTCAAAGGTCAGTACGTCCACACGTGTGTGTGTGTGTGTGTGTGTGTGTGTGTGTGTGAGTGACAAACGTGACCAGATGACCTGGGGTCGTGGTGGACACACACGTTACGGTTTCCTAACATCTCATTGAAGGCTTCCATGTTGGCTGGAGACAGGAAGAAGCTGAGTTAGGTTTCTCTAAAAACTGACAGGTCACATGACAGGTCACATGACAGGTCACAGGTCACATGACCTGCTGCTTCTTCAAATTCACCTTCATTTTCAATGATGCACTTGAGGATTTGTTCCACGGTGTCCTGGTTCTCCTCGTCCTCCTCTACAAACAGAAGAACAAGGGTGAGGGTCACTCTGGCTCCGAACCATCAGCATCATCATGACATCATCATGACATCATCATGACATCATCATAATACATACATACATTATGAACGGTGTCTGTTAAAAGCTTCAACTGTGATCTCATTTCTTTCTTTCCAGTCATCACCTGAGTGAAGGCTACACACACCGTCATTCACACCGTAGACCACCCGTCATTCACACCGTAGACCACCCACACCGTAGACCACCCGTCCCGTCATTCACACCGTAGACCACCCGTCATTCCCACCGTAGACCACCCGTCATTCACACCGTAGACCACCCGTCATTCCCACCGTAGACCACCCGTCATTCACACCGTAGACCACCCATCATTCACACCGTAGACCACCCGTCATTCCCACCGTAGACCACCCATCATTCACACCGTAGACTACCCATCATTCACACCGTAGACCACCCATCATTCACACTGTAGACCACCCATCATTCATTTGGCCCAGATTTCATCCTTTTGTTGGATTACTGCCACCTTCTGGTCACTGTAAACAGTCTGCTGATGTCTGTCACTAACACACATTTCCTTTTAGATTAAATGACCGTCTGTGCACTAGTTAGCGTTTAGCTAACAAGGTCTGCTGCTCAGTGGAGGGATTCAAACCTCAAACCCACTGACCCCCTCGTTCCCTCTCTTTATTCCTCCTGCAGGTCTGTTCCAGGTCTGTGTCTGTGTCTGTACCCTCTGCAGCTCCTCCCAGTTTCTTCTCTTCTTCCTCTTCTTCTTCCTCTTCTTCACTGTCCACGTCTCCGGTCCGACATCGGTATCCCCTCCTCTTCAGGAGATGGCAGAGCAGGAAGCCCGACAGTCCAGTTAGGAAGAAGAGGAAGACCACCAGAAAGATGATGTACGAAGGAGGAGGCTCCCCCACAACCGACGCCTCCAAGTCAGTCATGTCCTGGACGTGGAGCAGATCAAGGGGTCAAGGGTCAGGGGTCAGGAGCTGCTGACTGACCACAAGTTAAACAAGTTGTTATAGATTCAAATAGAAAATGGAAAAATGTTGAATTTACCAGCTTTGAGTTGGGTTCAAGTGTTCTTCAGTCCAGTGGGTCTGGACTCTGAAGGTCTGGACTCTGAAGGTCTCTGAAGGTCTGGACTCTGAAGGTCTGGACTCTGAAGGTCTCTGAAGGTCTGGACTCTGAAGGTCTGGACTCTGAAGGTCTCTGAAGGTCTGGACTCTGAAGGTCTCTGAAGGTCTGGACTCTGAAGGTCTCTGAAGGTCTGGACTCTGAAGGTCTGGACTCCTCATCACTGTATAATAAATGACTCATGTCATCATTTTTCTGCAGGAACACAAATGTTCCTGGGCTGGAACTAAGTGTGTGTTCACACACAGATAAAGAGTTCTCCCAGCTGTCATCAGAAGAGCCGACCAATCAGCACAGAGCACTGCTCCAGGACACAGAGACGGTCTTCACAGCCCCTCCCCTTATCTCCAGAGAGAGGGGGGTAGTGGTGTGTGTGTGTGTGTGTGAGAGAGAGAGAGCACATATGAACACACACACACACACACACAGCCTCATGTGGTTCAGCTTATCAGTCGTGTCCTGTCACTGCCTTATCAGGAACAACCTGACTCCTGACCCCCGACGCCCCCCCACCTCCTCACACACACACACACACACACACACACACTTTTAACTTTAACTTTCCCAGGGACCGTGGTCAAATATGTTCTAAAAGACTGAGTTCATGTTGATGACATCACCGTGTGACATCACCAACGTCACCAGCTCATACTACAGTACTTCATCAGAGGGACCAAGAACCAGACGGGATAGGTGTAGTGTGAGTACAGGGGAGTACAGGGTACACACACACACACACACACACACACACACACACACACACTGACTTCCTGAAGAGGAAAAGTGCTGAGTAAGGCAGAGTGATGACTCAGCAGTTTTCCTGGTGACCTCCACAGAATGACCGGGCTGTGACGCTGCTGCACGTGTGCTGCTTTATGACGGCTGTGTGCCGGTCAGCTGGTCCACTGACACACAGATGGTTCTGATCGGTACCTGGTACCATTAACAGATTCTCCTGAACAGAAGGAACTGACGATCTGACAACAACGTGAATGAGTGTATGTTGATAGGAATCAGTTCCTGTTCTTGTCCAAACAAACCCAGTTCCCAGAATGCTGAGGGTGAAGTTTCCCAGTGTCACAGAAGAGTTTGGAGGGAGCTCCAGTTCTTCTTCTTCTTCTTCTTCTTCTTCTTCTTCTCTGTGTGATAAATATTTCAGCTCATTCCCAGGAGAACGTTGGGAACGTTCCTCCTCTGCTCTCATCTCCAAGAAGGAGCGGAAACGATCTGTGGTCACAAGAACCGAGCGACAGACAGACCTGAACTTCTGGACCTGAATCCTGGTTCACTTCCCAGGTTGGGATCAGATTCAGCCAGTGTGACCAACTGAAAAGAAGGTCAGAGGTTCGATAGCCGTTGACAGGTGAGACCTGAACCATGGTGAGAAGATCACGTTATAACATGGTGATGGTCCTTCTCCAGTCTACTCCAGTCTACGCCAGTCTACGCCAGTCTACTCCACGTGACCACTGGCCACACTGTGGTGAACTTGTAAGTACCAGGTCATCCATCAGACCTGAACCAGTGAGACTGTACCGTGGACCATGTACCATACCTGTCTGTGCTGAGTCATGTTGTCACNACTACGACCGTCATCAACATCATCACTAAATCAACCACATGAAGGGTCAGTGTGAACACGACACACGTCGCAGGGAAACTCACCTTCAGCGCGGCTTCAGCGGGAGGACAGTCCGCTCTGGTCCGCTGGAGCTGCTGGGCATAAAGACGGAGGATCCTCCATGGCTGCAGAGAGGACATCTGCAACGAAGATGAGGGGGCACGCGCGCGTGTTTTTGACAACTGCAAAGAGGATGAGAGTGCAGAAGTGCGTGCGCGCGCGCAGACTGCAGACTCCCGCAAAGATTCTAGGATTCTCGCCTGCTTAAAGCCTCAGGTTCGAGTCCGCCCCGAGTCCAACTGTGACGGGGAGGGTTTACGCCACAAAGGGCACACTGCCAAGTGACTGTGCAGATACTGCTGTGGTGCCCCCTGCTGTCGAAGAGAGATCCATAACAATGTTTTAGTTATTACATAAAGTATGTTTGTTTTGCTACCACACCACTAAATACTAAAACACACACACACACATATGTGTGTTTTTAATGTATTTATGTGTGTGCCTTGTAAAATTGGATTTTAGTGTGAGCAAAAACTGTTGCTAAACCAAAATAATTTGCATCAAAGTCTAATTGTTACCACTTACGTTTTCTATGTTATTTATTGATTCCTTCATTATTTATTAATACTGCTTATAACCATTGATGCTGTTGGTTTTAAACGACACGATCCATCACCGTAAATCCTGCCTACTTTTAATTTGAAAGGTGTATCCGGAAGTGTTAGTCGAACTCCACAATATGTAGCTAAGTACTTCGCTAGCTACCCCCTTGTTGATTCACCAACAGCTGCTAAATTGTCTGGTTCTGTCCCATGTAAAATACAGAAACTCATCGGTGTCAGTCTGTCGATAACCTCCGAGGTGAATCTGCACGAATAAAGGCGAACAACCCGAAATCGAAGCAGTGGTGGTGGTAGATATTTAGTTCAATTTTTACCCTCGGCCTCGGGCTAATGCTAACCGATTAGCTCGACCAGTGCAACTGTTTACTTCAAGTAAAGAAATGCAGGTCTGGTAAGTAACGTGATGATTTATCTACTACTTTAAAAAGCCTTTCGCATCATATAATGAACTGGTTCATGGTAATACTGTGTAGTTTCACTAACGAGGCTCGTTTACTTCCGCTTATGTCCCAAAGCTTTCTCCATCTATACATTTGTTTCATTAGTTTATATACTGTATATATATGTTAACATAAAGGGTGCGTACACGTGTAACACTCTAGAAACTCAGTCTAGAAACGTCCCTGTGTGAATAAACACGGCCACTCGTGAATCAGTCGAGAATCAGTTTAAAGCACGTAAACAAGTTGACATTACAGTAGCTCCAGACTGGAGGAGCTAAAGCTCAGTCTTGTGACCTGTTCTTCAGCATGAAGCTGTAATGTGTTCGTGCTTTACCATCTTTTTGTAACTGTCATCATGTCGGCTTGTATCATTCTTGGTGAATATATAATAATAAATATATTTCTTTCATTTTGACGTCTCAGTAATCCCACCTTAAAAAAATAATTCCTCCTTTATATTAGCACTGTATTTCAGTGATATAGTTTTCCAACATGAAGTATCTTTTCTGTCTGATGTTAATTTTGTGAATGAAATGTTTAATTTGTAAATAAAATCACCATTGCCCTCGAATATTTTAAGTTCTGTCAATAGTATATTCATAAAAAAAATCTTTTCCCAGACTGTGACCAGACAGTGACAGAAGTAGTGATTAAAACCCCTGTGTTAGAGTTAGTAAAGAGTTCTTTTGTGTCTTTTCTCCGTCTCGACGTGCAGGACAACTTCTCTTTGAAGTGTGGCGATGGCCGGTTCCCAGTGGGAGCTTCCTCCAGAGTTGTGCTGTCGGCCCCTGGCCTTCGTGGCTCTTACTGGTCTGGATGTGGTGTACAACGCTGTGCATCGAGCTATTTGGGATGCTTTCTGTGTCAATCGTCGAGTAGATCGAGTCCCCATCTCTTTTAAAGTACTTCCAGGGGATCATGAGTATCCCAAATGCCGCACTAAGGTGAGATGTCTGTCAAAAACAACACAACATTTTAGGATATAATAAATAAACATTGTTATATCTTTTGTCTTTTGTCTTTTGTCTTTGTCTTTGTCTTTGTGTAGCGGACCTCCTATGAATGGTACATCCCAAAAGGCATCCTGAAGACCGGTTGGATGAACAAACATCTGAACCTAGTACCTGCTCTGGTGGTTCTCTTTTATGAACTGGACTGGGATGATCCACAGTGGAAAGAGAAACAGTCAGAATGTGCCACTAAAGTGGAGATTGTCAGGTTGGTTTGGGAACGGTTGTCTCGGTGGTGACAGAGCAGGAGACTGTGGGGCTGGAGGTCTCCTTTAAATCATCAAGTCCTTCCAAACAACAGAGAATTGAGTTTGCACTTTGCTTCTTTCTTTTGTTCCTCTTCAGAACCAGTCTCCAGGGCAGGAACACCAAGGTGGCCGTGGTTCTGATCCAGAAGAAAACCCCTCTACCCCCAGGTGAGAATGACATTTGACCTTTCACTGACACACTGTGAGCGCCTGACTCAGTCACCTGTGTGACCGTGACATGTGTGGTGTACAGGGGAGGACCTGGTGGCCTCCGAGAGGGCAGCTGCTCTGTGTAATTCCTGTGACCTCTCTGGTAAAAGTCTCTTTGTGCTGCCACATACAGACCACCTGGTGGGCTACATTATCAGGTACCAGTGGCTCACTTCGCCTACATGTTGAGTGCACTGCTTTTCTTGCACTACCTCTCAGAGGGGGGCACCCCTGCTGGACGATGACGATAAATGCTGTTCTGTTCTCCTCTAACGCCCCAGGTTAGAGAATGCCTTCTACGAACACGCTCAGACGTACTACTACACAGAGATCCGCCGCGTCAAGTCGCACAAGGAGTTCCTCAACAAAACCACACACCAGGTTGGTTCACCAGCCGTACCAGGAGCGTGACGCCGCGGTGTGAAACAACAATGACGTGAAAGTAAATGCACACCTTTCTGTCCACGTTTCTGTCTGTTTCCAGCTGCTGTTTGTCAGACACCAGTTTAAGATAGCTTTCTTCAGTGAGCTGAAGCAGGACACACAGAACGCCCTGAAGTGAGTCTGACTTCACCCACACACCCCGGGGGGGCGGGGGGGAGGGCGGCAGGGGGTCTGTGTCTGATGATTTGATTGGTTGGCTGTCTTTGTAGGTATTACAGGACAGCGTACAGTCTGGTCCACGAGCTCCGAGCTCATGAAACCAACATGTTGGAGATTAAAACCCTGGCTGGATTCATCAACTACAAGGTCTGAGTCTGAGTCTTCCTCGTCTTTCTTCTCTTCTCTCTCACATCTGGAATGAAGCCCTGTTTTCTGACACTAATGGATCCAACAGCGACACCTGCTGTAGTAACTCGGTGACCAGTGAACAGTTTGTTTTCACTCCTTCAACCAGAAAACCATGAAAACTGTGTGACAAGGTTGCTAGTTAAAATCTGTACCAGAGGTTGAGCACTGAGAATACTAACCAGTTAGTCACTAACTACTGTGTGGATGGAGTGTTAACCCGCTGACTCTTCTTCCTCTGTCCAGATCTGTCGTCTGTGTTTCCAGCACAACACTCCCCTGGACGCCATCGCTCAGTTCAGGAAACACATTGACCTGTGTAAGAAGAAGATTGGCAGCGCTGAGCTGGGCTTTGAACACGCAGCCTGGATGTCCAAACAGTGGGTCTGACTCAGAACCACAGAAATACAGAACCAGATCTGAACCCACCACAGCTGCTGGAAAAGACAACCCACCTCTGTCTGTGTTCTTGTTCTTGTTCTTGTTCTTGTCAGGTTCCAGTCTTTTGGAGAACTCTTCGATGAAGCCATTAAACTGGGCCTGACGGCCATCCAGACCCAGAACCCTGGGTTCTACTACCAACAGGCTGCATGTTACAGTCAGGAGAGGAAGCAGCTGGCACTGCAGCTCTGCCAGGTGATGACCTCCACCTCCACCTCCACCACCACTACTACTACTACTACTACTACTAGTACTAGTACTAGTACTAGTACTAGTACTAGTACCTGTGACACTTCTGCCTTCTCCTGTCAGGGTGGGGCCACGTACCCGTCCTCTGACCCACTGGACACTCAAAGTGGAGGACTGGACTTCTTTGGACAAAGACCGTAGAGACCTGGACATCAGAGTGAGCGCGCGCACACACACACACTCCTCAGCATGATGACATCATCTTGGCCTCTGTTTGACCGGTGCTGTTTGTTCTGAAGGTATTGATCCTCCAGACGCAGAGAAGGAGAAGTTGGGGATACTGGCTCTGCAGATCAAAGAGAGAGATGTTCCACATTCTGTGAGGAGACACACACACACACACACACACACACTCTGTGGAACAACGTGCCTATTCTGTAGATCAGTGTGTGTGTGTGTGTATATATGTACATATACATATTTAGTTCTGAATACTAAAGTCAATGTGTGAGTTTTTAATCGAGACTGTAATAAGTCTCTGAAGTATTAAAAAGTTGTTAAAGTTATTAAAAAAGAATACTGTTGTTATACTAGCCAGTACATAAAATACTACTGACCATTAATGTGACTGCTGGTACTTCATGGTTTTGATGTTTTCATGTGATTGGCTCTAATGCAAACAGAGTTCTAAATATATGGTTCCACTTGTCAAACAGAACAGTTTAACAAACACCAGGAAGGAAAAATCTTCATTTATCCTACGGTCAGTAAATGCACCACACCTGCTGATTCGAGTGCTGTCCTTATGGGCAAACCAAGGCCCGGGGCCCGGGTGTGGACCGTTCAGTTTTTCAATCCAGCCCGCCAAACCTTTCCAAATGATATCATTTATTTTTGTTGTCATTGTACTTGCTATACCCATGTTTCCCCAATAGATGGCATAGAAAACATTTTAGTATTTAACCTTAATGCAAGACTTTTACATGTCAGTCTAATCTACTCCAGTCTAGTCCAGTCTAACCTGGACTGTTTTAATCTGACGCAAGACTTTTACATGTCAGTCTAATCTCCCTACACCTCAGTCCATCACCCTACCATTCTCAGCCAATCAGCATCATGAAGCTTAAAGCTGGAAAACAAGAATTCTGTACAGAAATTATATCATGATCTAAAGCTGATGATTGATGGTTCCACTCACCCACCACATCAACTAGAAAATAAAACTGTATATCTAACATGCTGCAGTGAACCGTACCGTACTGTACTGTACCGTACCGTACCATCAATCACACGTGCTCCTGTCTGTGACTCTGCTCCTACAGGAGGTGATAATTGCCCTCCTCAGTAATGCTGTTGCCCAGTTTAAGAAGTACAAGTGCCCCAGGATGAAGAGTCACCTCAGTGAGTACCAGGGCTGGCGGGGAATCAAACCGACATCTTTGACAGTTCTATATCACAGCAGTAGACTATTTAGGATGCATCCCACGTCTCCTGTGGGAAAGGAATTTGTGGCTGTGTGTGAGACGGGACAGAAAATGTCTGACATGTTTGTGTTTCCTGGTCCAAGTGGTGCTGATGGGAGAGGAGTACTACCACGCCAAGGACTACACCAAAGCTCTGAAGTAAGGAGACCTCTGTGTGTGTGTGTGTGTGTACTGCAGGTTACACTGCTTCATATGTTTATGTTTAATGATGTCACCAATCAGGGAGCTTCACTGGGAATACACTTACAGTAGAGTCAGTTGTTACCATGTACAGACCACGGTCCACAGTGAACCACTGACCCACCGACTGACGGGCTGTCGCTTCTGTCGTCAGGCTCTTGGACTATGTGATGTGTGATTATCGCACAGAGCGCTGGTGGGCGCTCCTGACCGCCATACTGACCACAGCGCTGCGCTGTGCTTATCTGATGGCCAGTGTCAAAGACTACATCATCTACTGCATGGAGCTTCTGGGCAGAGGTGAGTTGGACCTCAGCAGAACCAGGGACAGTCAGTTGGATGAAGTTTGGTCTTTATATTATCAGTACAGTTATATAATGGTTTGTTCATCTGATGACATCACAGGTGTGTTGTTTTTGTTTTAGCTTCAACACTGAAGGAGGAACAAAAGAGTCGGATTGACAAGAACCTCATCAGAGTCCTGAAGGTGAGCTGGCCTGGTGCCTGAGCTCATCTAGACCAAAAACAGCGCCATCCAGTGTTCAACCTCAGTAATTACCTTCAGTTCCCAGAGGGAACTGCTGATGTGTCCATCTAATCTATGATTCTCTCATGCTGTGATGTCACAACAGAAATGAGTTGGTTTTAACTTCCTCACCTCCTCCACCAGAACGAGGTTCCTGACCCTGAGCCGGACTGCGATCCGTCCTCCGTCAGTGCAGCTGCGTTGCTGTGGAACGACCGCGTGGCCTTAGCTGGATCCAGTGAGTTCAACATCGAGGTCCAGGACTACATACCCTTCAGTAAGAGTTCCCACGTTCACACTGGTGGTTATGACAGTTGGTGTCATAACCACCGTTGATGATGTTCCACACCTTCTCTTCTGGTTCCAGTCCAGTGCAAGGCCCGGTTCCTCTGTCCTAGTTTCCATGTAGACCAGCCCATCCAGCTGCAGGTCTTCCTCCAGGCTGATTGTCCTCACTCTGTATCAGTGAACAAGCTGGCAGTCAGCCTCAGTAACCAGGTACACACACACACACACACACACACACACACACACACACACACAGAGAGAACGTCCAGGAACAGGTCACACCTCAGTCTGAGTTCTGCAGGAACAGCAACAACATCTGTATTCTTCTCTGAACACTGTTGTCACCGACTGTTGACACCGACTGTTGACACCGACTGTTGACACCTGGTGTGTGTGCGTGTGTGCAGGAATACAACCAGTGGTGTGTGATGGCATCCTCAGGTCAGGACAGTATGATTCTGTTACCTGGAAAAACTCAGTGTTTCAACTTCAGCTTCGTGGCAAAAACTGAGGACGTTGGGAAGAAGATTGAGGTGAGTGTGTTACGACTGTATTGTGACTGTGTTGTGACTGTATTGTTACTGTTGTGACTGCGTTGTGACTGCGTCGTGACTGCGTTGTGACTGTATTGTGACCGTTGTGACTGCGTTGTGACTGCGTTGTTACTGTTGTGACTGTTGTGATGCTGTACAACAGCCCACCACTGCTGTACAGCGTGGCAGATAAGGAACCAGTACTAACTGTGACTCTGTACCAGATGACAGGCATCGAGGTGATGTTGGGCTGCGACACTGGCCGCTGTGTGTTTCTGAGCTGGAGGGGGGCGGGTGGAGATGCAGCCTCTACCCATGAAGCTTTGCAGGCCAGTCGCTGTTCACGCCGATGGGGACGGAGTGCAGAGCTTTGTAAAGAGTTGGAGTGGGACAGCCTGAGCATGCAGCACAGCACCATGTCAGGGTCTTCTCACATATGTCTAAACCCATGACATCATCATGACATCATCACGACATCATCACGACATCATCACGACATCATCTGTACATGTGACTCCTCCTGCTTTTGTTTCCTGTTCAGGATCATTTCCAGAGTTCCCAGGATTTCAGTTCAGCTGAGTCATCATCCTCCTGCTCTCAGTAATGAAATCTACTGCATCAACCTCACTGTCCAATCAGAGGAGGAGGGCGTGGCCAAGGACATGATGTTGACAGCTGGTCTTAAACCAGGTACTGGTCTAGTTAGTTACTGTTGAACCAGAACCTGTTGAAGGTCTAGTACTGCCCCGTCAGAGGGTAGTACTGCACCGTCAGAGGGTAGTACTGCACCGTCAGAGGGTAGTACTGCACCGTCAGAGGGTAGTACTTGTAGGACAACCCGTAGCTGGAGACCGTTGACCTGTGGACAGTTTGGTGTTTAGTTTCTCTTCTGGTTGCTGTCTCCAGGTCAGGATGCCAATCTCGGCCACAGCACCCATGTGACCCTGGAGGGGTCAAAGGTCTGCGAGGACACTGACCCTGCTCTGCTTCCTGACATTCCCCTTGGAGACTTGACGGCCGGAGGAAAGGTGGAAACTCCTCCAAACGTCACTCACCTCCTCCAGTCAACTTTCCTCCTCAGCGTCTCACCTGTTTATTAATGTGTTCCAGTTGGAGACGTGTGTGTATCTGAGGTGTGTGTCCACTGGTCCGCGGGTCTTCCTCTTCCACGTGGCCTACAGCATCGACACCACGGTGGAGGGACGACACGTGGTCTGCAAATGTCACAAGGCAGAGACTCTCCTCCTCTTTAGTCCTTTCTTTTGTTTTCTTCTGACAGGACTGTGTAAAGTTTCAGGCACATGTAAATATTGACCCCCTCTCCCCCCCCCCAATTTGCACAGTAATAATTTTCATCTAGTGCAGTCGACGGGGGAGGACATCAATATACACACCTGCCTAGAAAGTAGTGCACAAGCTGTCTCCTCGTCTCCTCTGACCTCTGGCCTCCTGTCTCCTCTGACCTCTGACCTCCTGCCTCCTCTTCACTGTTTTCCAGGATGAGATCGTAACCATAGAAACTGTGGATCCATTTGAAGTTTCTGCCAAGTTCATGTCCATCAAGGTGCGTAGCTTTGTTTGGACTCGGGCCGCAGCTGTCGTTCACCTGCGTTTATAGCAGTGTCCTGGAGGGGGCAGTGGTGCGTAGTTCTGACTGTTGTCTGTGTGAATCCAGTTTGAGCCAGTGGAGCGGTTGGCTGTGGACGTTCCTTTCCTGTTGATGACAGACATCGTCTCCTCGTCTCCCTGGCCTCTGCTGCTGGCCTCCTCCTCCCTCCACCTCCTTAATGTGACCAGCAGCCCCCCCCACCCTGAGTCACAGCTGCAGGGAGGTACGTGACTCCTCCAGCTTCACCGATCAACACTTTTTAAAAAGACACGGTTTGACTGTTGTTTGTTGTTCCAGTGGTTTTACAGACGGGTGAGTCTGCCAGTGAGTGTGTCAGTCTCCTCTGTCCACCACTGACCTCCACCAGCAGCAGCAGCAGCAGCAGGAGCAGCAGCAGCATCAGGGTCGAGGGCCTCTGCACAATTGAGCTTTGACAAATTAGATTTGGTCATGATTGATGCTGAATCAACAGCTGAAGTTGGGACAGCAGGGGGAGAAAGAGAGCAGCATCATGGGATGATGGGGGGGGGCAAGCAGGTTATCAAAACAAAAAAAAATCTCATAATATTGACGTCCCCCTCTTTCATCTCAGAGTCGGACTTATATATTTATTTCTTGCCAACATCAGGTCGCTGCTGTAGTTTGTGGATCAG